CTGGATCTCCTTGTCTTTCTGTTGTATCTGGTTGTTCAGTTCGATGACGCTCTGAGCCAGCTGAGGGACAAACACACAAACATCAGCAATAAATCTCACACCCTGATTCAAGGGCCTTCCAGGACCTTCCAGGACCTTCCAAGGCCATGTGAGTTTACTGAAGAATCCCAGCAGTGGAACTCTTCAGCTTAGCAGTCGGTAAAATGTGATTTTCTCTCAGGAATGTTTGAGTGAAAGCAGCTGAGGGAGCTCAGACGCTGCAGTCATGCAGCTCCACATGACCGCGCTGCCTCCTTCAGGACGGTGCAGGTCCAAGAACAAGAGAAAACCAGGAAACTAGGAGCAACCGCTGGTAAACAGGTTTACAATGTCTGCAGCTACCAGTTACTGGTTATGATCGATTACTGTTCTGCCAGTAAATCAGAATATTTGTTAGAATGTGATGCTGCAGGATAAACCTTCTGCAGACTTCAGTAGCTCACATGTACAGCTGTCAGATGGACTCTCTCTGTGACTGAGTGAAGTGAAATCAGAGCTGTGGCATCCTCAAAATCTGCCTCAGTCAGCTGATTGTCAGGAAACTGAAGAAATCTGCATTTACAGGAACTGAGTCAGTCTGACAGAAACAGCAGGATGATTTAGCAGAAACCGTTCCTCACGTCATGTGGGACTGATGCTGAACAACCTCAGTCCAGTCCTCAGCTTACTGTCACACAGGTGTCATAAAGAAAGTGCACAGTGTGTAGCAGGACGCTAGCCATGCTAATCTAGAATTATGTTCTTAATCAATAATCGATAACACAAACTGATGCCAGTGAACACCCTCCTCTGATCTGCTGTTGTCGTCCACAGACTTTGCTCCTCAGTCAGTCTGTTGCATGTTTCCCTGTGATTCAGGAACTCTGCTGATCCCAGTTTGTCTTAATCACGAGTTCTGGTTGGAGCTCGTGAACTCAGACGTCTGTCACGGAGCCCGTCGCTGCTAAACTCTTTCCTAACGCATGCTAAAGACAATCACTGGTTCAGTAGATGTTGGACTGATCTTAATAACATGAAAGTACTTTACTTTCTAAGTTTGTATTCTCAGATTAGGACTCTTTCAGACAGAGACTGGCAGGTGTGGCCGATGACATCATCACCGTGAGACGCGCAGGTGACTGACCTCTCCTCGCTTCTTATGAAGCTCCGTCAGCTCCTCCTGATGCCTGATCCTCATCTGAGACATCTCCTGCTGCAGGACATCACTGCGACTCGAGTCTGCAGGGCTGAGACAGGACAGAGGACAGAATGCGTGTTAGAGGAACACCTGGAGTCTGCCGTCTGCAGGTGGATGCATGGAGCTGCCTCACCTGGTCTCGTGTCCTCTCTGGACTTCATACTTGTCCGCCTGGTATCTCTCTGAGAGGACGGCCTGCAGGTCCGACTTCTCCAGGAGACGGTTATCTGAGACAAAGATCACACTGTTGGTACCAAACAACAACAACAACAACAACAACAACATGTGTCCTCTGTCATGTTCTCAGCATGTCTTTAGAGCGTCTTACTACCGTGTCTTGGGTGCGTGCTACTAGCGTGTCTTCAGGGCGTGTTACTAGAATGTCTTGGGTGTGTGTAATTCGTGTGTCTGGGGTGCGTGTTATTAGCGTGTCTTCACTCACACTGGTGGACAATCTCCTCAAAGGCGTGTCTCTGCAGTCTGTCTCGGAGCTTCAGCTGCTCTGAGACGTGTCTCTTCCATGTGCACTCCACCCGCCGCTCTGCCATCTCCACCTGACACACAGATCAAACACACGCATCAAACACGTCTACACGCGGGTCAGAGAACACGCTAGACAGCAGGAGAGAGAACACGCTAGAGGACAAGCTCTCTACCCCGTCAGAGGACGTTTATCAGCAGTCTCAGGTATTTATTGTCCTCCCCACACTGACGACACACTCCCAGATGTGGACAGGTGTGAAGGCTGTGAAACGGCCAGGTGAGGGCTGACTCAGTCTCAGACAGCAGTTTTGGGCCTTTTTAGAAACCACTGACCGCTACTGACATAAAAACCACACATCGATGGACTCCCTGCTCATAACGCAGTCCTGACATCCCTCTTCAGAAAGGTTCAGCTCCGTTCACATCAGTGGTACCAGGAATCTGGTCCGACACGAAGCTGCACGCAGACATTCACCTGCGATCAGGTGAGCGAACGTTCAAAGCATCTCAGCAACGTTAACCATTGAGCTCGGCTTCATGCCTGTAGCTAACGGAGCGATGTGGAAAACATCTGTCTGCTGACAGCGATCACAGTGTAACGGACACGTTAGAGGACGGACATCAGGCGTCTGCAGCTCGACGACAGCAGGTGCAACGAACAACGAAGACAGAAGCAGTAATTTTATATAATCCAGGAAACATCCTGAGCAGAACACATTCAGGCTGTTGAAGAAATGACCATGTTTCAAGCTTTGATAACACTGGGAGCTGATCTATTCACTATAGTCCAGTTTTCAATGTAATAAACACAAACTACAGTTTAACTGAGCACGAAAATAATGAACATAAGAGAAACCAGGTTAAACCAGGATTATTATCTGCCACAGAGTCCGAACACATCCACTGTGTTTATCTTTAATCACTGACAACAGACTTTGTCAGAAGTAGTTTGAAGTCTTCACTGTTCTCATAAACACGTATTACAGTAATGATGTTAACTACGTGGTTCTGTTGGACCTGAAACAGGCTGAAGTGAAAGTATTCAGAGATCAACACCCAAGACGTTCAGGTTCTTGTTCTTCATGCATTACTTCACCTGACGCTTCGGGTTTTTGCTATTTAGGGTTGTTTGTCCTGAAGTCAGAGTTCAGGTGTTCATCCAGGTGTTTTGGGGCTGCAGCTTCAGGTGTGGACAGGTGGGCTGGTGACCGACATGTCTGACCTGCGTTATGTAGCAGCCAAAGGCGGAGCCAGACACACAGGTGACTGTTAGCGCCGCTCTGATGACCGTCAGGTGAGTCTCACCTGTGCAGGTACTGCGCTTCCACAGACCTCAGGTGGCTTAAATCTCCGTTAGCTGCAGTGTTAGCATGAACTGCGAACGGGAAGCACAACACAAACAGGAAGACCTGGCTAACGTGCTAACATGCTAACACCGTACTTGTGTTGTTATTACACCCACTAAAGCTAACTCGGCCACCAACGGACCGTGTACCGGGTCCGAGCTGCGGCTCCTGGGCGGGGCTCTGCGGGCTGCTGTGCGCTGTTTCCCGGCTGTTTCACAGCGCAGCTCCCGGCACTCACACACCCGTGACTCGACAGGTTAGCATGCTAACTGCGCCGCCCGTTGCGGAGCTTAGAAGCGGTTAAAAATCAAACTCTCACCGTCCAGCTGGTCCCAGTGGGCGGCTCGGTTCCTGTAGAGGCTCTCCGGTGTCCTCGGTGTTGTGGGTTGTGGGTTCTGGGCGTCTAACGGTCCCGTTTCGGTCATTAACCGACATCAGCTTCTGCAGCCGCACTCACACTGTCCGCCATTTTGGCTCCAACCAGACACTACCGGGAGGGTCGCAGGTAGATGACGTAGGGCTTAAATCGCTTCGCTGTGGCCAAATCGTTTTTATTATGAATTTATAATTAATAAAAATTAACCCTGTGTATAAAACACACACATAAGAATATGAAAATAACAATTCTGTAAATGCTGGCAAGTCCTATTGTGAAGAGTTTCTGTTAAAAATGATAACTTATTAGTAATTACTTTATACATTAAAAAAAGGAAATTAGACACATAAGCTAATCCACACACACACACACACACACACACACACACACACACACACATATATAAGATAAGATGAGCAAAATACATTGCCAAAATAATGCTAGAATGGAAAAGTAAGAAGTAATACTGGAAACGATTCTTAAGTCATAAAGTAATGTAATATTTTACGTAATAGTGAAGTATTGTGTATAATACTGGAAAGGATGTTGCAGATGTTATTGAGAAAGTATGATATGGTAAAGTATGGTTTATATTTTTCACTGTTATACAAACATAATAATATAATGTAGTACCTGGATAGTTGTGGCCGTTTCTGACTGGCTGACAGACAGAAACCTTCAGGTTTTTATGTGATAATTTGACCATTTTCAAGTTATTTCACAGTGAAACGGACATAAAGTAGGACAGATGGATCAGTGGTTCTCTGTGTGAATTAGTCTGATTTATATGATTTAATTGATGATGTTTTGCAGAGTTTTCTGATGTCTTCAAACCAAACCAATAACCAATTAACTCAGAACGTTCATCAGGACACAGCTGCTGTCAAATACTAACTAACAAACACATCCATGATCCATCAATCTGACAGTCATCAGGGAATCACATTGACAGAGTCGTGGCTTTTGCAGCATTTTTGAACAAAGTTGATGAATTCAGTTTGTTTTTAACATCACAGCCTCAGTTTAGCGATTTGAGCTTCTGTAACGATGAAAGTGATCAAAAGGTGTCTCACAATGAAACAGACTGAAAAGGTTTAAATATGGAAATACATCATTTACACGTCTGATTAAATAAAAACATAATGAGAACAGATTATCAGTAATTCTCGATCATTATAAAACACGTGACGGACAGTTTTAAAGGAAAACAACTTTATTTTCAGGCACAGACACAGTTCTAAAGTTTGAGACTGATAAATAGTCAAACAGTAAATGATCAGCCTTGAATAGTCCTTCAATAGTCAATAAAACTCTGATTCTGTGGTCAGTGCAGTGTCATCAGTTCAGCCTGTAGGTGGTGACGATGAGTCACACCAGGGGCATCGTGGGAACTGTAGTGTTCGCAGTTCATCTCAAGTTTTGGCCTAAATTTCATAATTTCTTAGAAAGTTTTTTCAGGATTTATTTCAAATGCTCATCGTAATTTATTCAGTTTGTTCTTGTATCTAAACCAAAATCTTAATTCATGTTTCTTCTTCAAACTGGGCTGAGAAGCTGCACATGTCACAGAAAACTACAGATTTAAAGTTTCACTGATTTAATTAAAACACACCTCTGATCACAATTCTAATTTCACCCATAAATATAAAAGTCATACAATGAACGATCAACGTGACGCCTTCATTTGACTGATTTGATGCACAAAGCAAAAGAAACAAAAAACCTTCAGCAGAGAACAACTGCAGATCTGACTTCATCTGTGGCTTCAGGTAGCTTTTTAACATTGTTTAATCCATCGCTAGTGTAACAGTAATGACCAGTGACAAGTAGCTCACCTGTGCAGGTACGGACAGGTGTGGTGCTCACCTGTGCAGGTA